AGGGATGATTGAAAATTATGTTTCCTGAATTTATTGAATGTTCTTCAGTTTATTATTCATATAATAAACATATAAAACAGAATAATAATAATAATGAAAATAACTCATAAATATTAGTCATTGAAATCTTTCTAATGATGTTTAACATTTCAATTGATCAGTTAATTTTGGTGGTTATACATCATGATTTACTATCCATTTTCATCTTTTCTTAAAAATAAATGAATATAATTTGGTGTTGATTTCAATGTAATCATAATAGTATCCTATATGAACTGAATAATTATAGAAAGTTAATGAAATTCATAATAGAATCAAAAGGAAACTTGGAATTTTATTTTATTTTTTGAATTATTTCTGAAATGAGGATTAAATAGTTATTTATAAACATTAATATATTCAAAGTCAATCTAGAATAGGTAGTATGTGAATTTCAAAATTTGGCTTCCATTAAGTATAAAGAGAAATTCAAACCATTCTTCAACCTCAAGGGCTAGACCTATATGTATAGACAACACAATAAATGATAAATTGAAAACATTTGATAGACATTTACGGAGAATAATTGGCTACTCTGTTCATCCAGAGTAACCGAAAACCAAAACATAAACTTGGAAGCATCCGAACAACTTCAGAAAGATTTTGTTCATAGACATTAAGTTCAAAATGGATACTGCAAGTGAATCCGCGAAAATCCAACTATCAATATTCCTGATAAGAACCTTTTATTCATCATAGCACTGAATTTCTTCCAGTTAACACATCGTTCTGAGCAGTCTAATGGATAAATTAGCTCTTTGAGCCACCTTGCCAAGCATTTATTAGTTTACTTACTTCAGTAAAACACGTTTCAGTTGCCACATAGAGTTTATTTTCCATATGTTTGTGAGAGGGCTGCTATCTAAAAGGAGTATGAATCATCCAACAAATTAGTTATCGAACATATGCTCAGCTTTAGTCACGTAACGCCTCCGGAAAATTCCTTCGTGATTACCAGATCAATGCTGATGCTACATACAATTCAATAATTCAAACCCGATATCAATATTCAAAAGACGCATAACCAAACTGTTATTCTGATGTGCTCCTAGTACACTTAGTTTTACAAGTAGTTATTGTCACTTATTCCTCAATTTCTTTATATTTAAGTGTACAGATATCTTTCAAACTCAAATAGATTATTACACAACTTATACTCTATACTTGGATATGCACGAAATATTAACTATTAGTACAATTGTACAGATCTAATGATTAGTATTTTCAAAGTGAAAGTTCTTATTACCAAACTATCTTCTTTTACAAATTAATATTTGTAATCACTTGTATTTCTGAACATTATCTATTTTAACGGGAATGTTTCAAAAATAGCACACAGATTCATCAAATATTTGTCAAAAAGAGTATATAATAAATTAGGGTAAAACTACTATCTCAAGTATAAAGATCGAACTGAAATGTCGAATTAGTGAATAAGTGATTCGTTGGACATAAAATTAGTCCAACACAGTCGAGACTACTGTAACAAAGAGTAGTATAGCACAACAAATAAAAATGGCAGAAAATGAAGATAAGGAAAAACTGATAATGCTATTATGCGGACTATTTGCTCCTATTGAGATCCCTAAGGAGAATGCATACATATGTTGTCGCTAGGCGTTTAATGTAGACGAAATGATGGGCTTTACTAATCCGATCTAGATATACATTATTTATCTTAATTCTTATATGATTTTAAGAATGTATTTTTAAAGTTTAATTTAAAATACACTAAATAGCCATGAGACTGTGCATAATTTTTATGTTTCTTAGGTTTTGATGCTAATCAGACTTTGTTCATTATTTTTGAACTTCAGTGGTGTACATTATTGATTTGAGCGTCAATATTTATTGGTTTAATGCTGTTATTAGAAAGCTCAAGCGCGGCCTGCTTGAACATCTGGGCTACCTGTTCCTGCTATCTAAATATTTTAACAAGTTATCTAATTTTGTTTGTTTTAATACATCATTATGGCTATTAATCGCACAATCTATTCAGGTGCGTTTCTGAAAAGTGTACAAACTTTCGTTGTACAAGTTACAAAAGGCCCAATCAGAGATATCGTGGTTGCCGGCAATATAAAGAGGAAAGAATGAACATTATGTAGATGTCGATTGACTGGACTTCTAACTAGCAATCACTCAATATTTATTGTAAGGGTTGATCAAGAAATAAGAAACGGAAACTTGTTGAAATACTTTCTGCTGAGAATTCTATATTGTACCAAAAATCTAATATTGAATAAAGCTAATAATAATTTCGTGGTTTTCGAAAGTACGGATATTAATATCTCTGAACAAACCATCAGCATTATAATAACGCAGTTACCATATAAGGCTATATAGAATCGTACAGATAAAAATCAAGCGACTGATATATATGACCCATTTCTGTTTGCAAACAATATCACCACCTTAAAATGACGCCGGTTTGATTGTCAAAGAACAAGACTTCCCAAAATTGGATGTATACCTCAGTGATAGGTTACAGAAGTTGAGAAGCTAGTCTTATATATTTTTCAAGGTTATTTTGAACAGTTTGACAAACACTTTTTGTCACTTAAATATAGACATTAGAACAGTTGTTTTTTTCAATGACAATTTTTAGGACTGAATGAATTTCAAAATGTGAACCATTCGACGTTGGTCCAGTGGTCTAAATGATTAAGCACTCCACGAGGGTTAAAGGTGTTGAGTTGATTTTCAATGGATTCATAAATGTGCACAGCTGAGAAGTCCCATACTAGGAGGAAACAAATGACCAGTAATTTATGCTTTTCAATGATTGTCAAAATAAGGTCAGAAGTGATATAAGCTATACAATGTAATACATCCACGGTAAGACAATATGGTTTATTTGGTAATTACATTGCGTGACTAAAATTGGAATATCTAACTCTTTCCATACCATCCAAATAAACAGTTGCTGAAACTGTTCAAAACATTTATTATATTAGTATTGTGTAGTTTTAAATCAGTTCACAACACACAATGATTGTCTCTGGATAGCCAATGAGAACCAAGAAGTATTAGTATTATTGCGAAATCATTTGGATTTCAACCTATATATGTAACCAGCTTGATATGACACCAGCTGGAAATAACACATGACTAATTGAGATTCTCAGGCTACTAGTTGATGTGTACCACTCCCACAAATTCTTGATACATAATCAGGGAAATCTTAGCCACAGACTAAGGCAAAATATATACCATTCATGCCTAAAAATCTATCAGTTGAGCTACGAGAATTAATCAGTTAAATACAGTTGGATCAAGTACTTCAATTAATAAAATATGATAATTCGGTGATTTTTCTGCTCTCTTCATTTTTTCCGTTAACGACATCCACAAAAGAAATAACTTTCTGAAGCGCACTTATATTTTCAACTACATATTTGAAAACTTTATCATTGTTAAATATTCATTTACAAATCTGATATCATGAATTGATCGCATTCCCTCGTACTGGGTGCACTAAATAACTACTGTCTGATGTGCATATGTATGAATTCGTATGCATATACATTTGTATATAAATTTTTTATGTAAGACTTGAACCTAAAGCCTTCTTGTTCGTTCGCAACATAAACATTACTAATAATAGCGATAACAGTAACGCTGACAACAGAGTTTATATACAATAGACGGAATGCGGCTAGCAGTGGAATCTAAGATGCGCGCTTAGTTCTCTTTTAAAATTCTCGACCAGGTATACCTTCGTCCAGTAGTCGATCCTCATTCCGAGTCCTGAGTATGAACGAAACATACGTTCTGAATTCCACTTTTAGTCACATTCCATCTGTTTTATGTAACCTTGTGAAAAATGGCTATGTAAAAGCAATCTGTAAAGAATGCAAATATGACAACGAATACTGATCACAATTTAGTCAACAATATCAACCATAGAATAATTCAAACAATTAGAATTGTTAGTTATCTTCACAATTGTAATAATTTGATAATTATGATATTAACTGTAAATAATAAAGTTATGGTTACTTCTAAGGTAATTAGTATTATAACTGTTTCAATTTTTCAGAATGTGCACAAATAAAAGCCCCAGAAACAAGAGAAATAAAAAGACTAAGGAATTAAAGAAAACATTGAAAATTTAAACAAAATGAATCGAAAAAGACATTTCACAGGTTTATATATAAAGATAAGTAGGTGTGTTAAAGTCAAACTAATTAATATCCAACTCATCAAGGAAATTTTTTATTCTATGAAGAATAATATATAAAATTGAAAGGGGAGAAACTGTAATTTATGGACCAACCAATCAGGTATAAAATAACAGGTCTCGGATTTTGGCGCGAGATTCACTCATCCATTTGTCTAAATAGAGTTTTAGCATTATAGCTAGTATCATTTAGTGATGAAAACCCTAAATCTAATCCCTAATCATAACCATCAACTGTAAATCATAGTTCGAATTCCTCACACTAATTTATAACCCTCATTTGGTTCTAGTTATCAGTTGGACACTCTCAAGGTTAGTCTAGCGTTGCTCTAAGGTCGTCCATAAATTATAGTGTCACCTTGAAAGGTAATCCAATTCACAAACGAGGCATATCAAGTTAATTATGAATACAATAAATTACAAAGCTTATATATATATATGGAATTCTCGCTAGTTTTCCTTTATACTTAGGATTCAGATTTTTCTCTTCATAGTTTTGGTAATTATTTATGTAAAAGTGATAACTTTTTTTCATTTTCTCATGTAGGGTGTACGTAAATTCTTATTTTAAAAAAAGGTAATATAAAGTTTTAAGTTAATTTGAATAAACTAGGGTTTATTACACAGTTTCTTTTCAAAATTGACATATAAACACATACGTTAATTGAGTAAAAACAATTGATTGAAATTAAAATGAATTTTAGTTTTATATTGCTAATAGTTTGTAATGATGTAATGTTTTTTCTTGTTCTTCTGTTTCAATTCAGTTATTTCTTAATCATTTCATACAACCAAGTATACCTAGTGAGGCTTGTTTTGGATATCCAGGACGTGTACGCATTGCTATGTTATCGAATACATAGTAGTTGGTACCTTCAAAAAACAAAGTTTCATCTATTTTTTAAAAAAAAACAGAAAAAATGTCTATTCAATTTTATTAAGTACAGAAAAAAAATAGAATGTTACTTTGAAAAATAAAGTCAATTAAATTCTTTTACTTCAAATAAACTGAAGTTAATTTAATAACCTTAAATTACCTGGGGAATTCAAATCAATAGTTGTTTAGTTACCAATTAAGCTACAAAAAAACTAAATTCATGTTAGCTTACGTGAAATATAGTTTCCAACTAAATTATAGGTAAGTCAGTGCTTCTACATTTATTAATAAATTACTATCTGGACCAGGTATGGTACTTCATTATTGGTCGGATATTCAGTGTCTGAGTTATTTTCTTAGTGATTTATTGAGTCTAGTTTGTTAATTCAATGTTAAGTCGTATTATTAGATATCAAATGTAGAATCGGAAAAAAATCATATGTGTCTAAGTAATAAATGATAAATAAGCACAGCATGGAATGCTAGGGAAATCTTTTCTTCAAGGTAACGGAATACGAATACTCAGTCTGCTACAACGGTTAGAAGCACAGAATCATAGGACAAAATATAAAATTCAATTTCTATCTTTAATTCGTTGATTATTTCTTAACTAATAGCTAACTCAACCATAATATGTTACTTTCTTTCAGGTCTTTACATAGCGAAAGAAAGAGTATCATCGAAGTTTGAAGACAATTCAACTAGATGTTTGGCTGAATAATATTTAAAAAAATTTAGTTTCTACTATGATGCTCAACTGAAGTGAACTATAGGTTCGTTATCACTTAATAACAATTAATTAATTTATTATTTACAGGATAAATTATTCTTTAGTGACATTTAATATCCAAGAGACTTTGTTATTGTTGGGGACGTTAGATCCCCAGAACTCACTTGGAAAATGTCCTAATTTTGTAATTTTATTTTGAAAATTTGAACATCTTTGTTTTCGCGCCAAAAGCGCTCTTTACACCTTCATGTCGTATTTCGCACTTGGGAGAATCTAAAAGGCTATTTGTCCGTTGTGTCTTTTATTATGCTATTTTGTAACGCTTTCCAAGGACGGTTTTGTGCCGTATATATATACGTTTTCAGTTGAATCTGTTGTTATCGCTCGTGCTTCTGGATTTTTGTGGAATATACTTCCCCGTTCGGACTTTGACTTCTCTCTCTAGTTAGCGGGGCTAGGACGCATCAGAATAGCTAGTTTGTTGGTCTTCGGTCACAAGTCTTTGGTCGGTTCGCAGACTAAGTGAACTCGTAATCGCTTTAAACACAGCAGTTATGCTTACAGAATGATAACATAGAAGCTATTGGTTTAGTTTTGTAACTTCAATTCATTATTATTGCTACTAATGACTTCGTAAAGCAATAAAATAAAGGGAGACGATAATGGTATCCATTAACTGATGAGTAGATTTGAATATTAATCACTCTGTCATAGTGGTATAGATATTCGGTTAGTACCGTTCGCTTTATGATAGTATACTAACTAATTATTTAATCATATTAAGAGTAATATTTAGTAAATAATCCAATGACTGATAACCATAGGTTTCAAACTCAATGAATATTTGATAGACATGAATTAAATAATTACAAATGACCTTTGAAAGTTAGTTTACAGTAAGCATACAGATCTCACAGTGATAAGATTTTAGTTCAGACCAATATGAGTATAACTTAAAAATAATAAAATCTCTTTACACATAAATGTCTTTTCATATGTAATTGGCTTTTGAATATAAAACAGTATCAGGTAGGTTGAGATGAAAATCCTTGTGTGCTATTCATTTGTATAATATCTGAATAAGATTAAAATCAGGTCTGATCATTTAACAAAGTGTATACATCTTAACGAACGGTTATTTAGTTCTGTAATAAATTGTACGTTTGCTAGATTGTGAAATGTCTAATTTTAAACTAATTGATCACTTAGAAAGAAAATGATACTAAAGTTCGAATGATTGGTCTCTGGGTAGTGACTGATTTCATTTTTGTTTAGTCATTTAATTCTGGAAAAATTCTACCCATCAAGTTACAGAGTAAGCACTAGTTTAAGTGACTCGATTGGCGTGCATATAACAACTGACCTCTTGTTTGTTCCTCCAAAAATTAGATTGGAACGGCCCATTTTTAGGAACTGAGTTACAACCTTGAACAGAGGTTTTAGACAATCATATACTGAATTATTATCAATTGTTAAGTATCAAACAAAACACTCAAGCGAAAAGTGGTTTGGAAGTGAAAATCATACTACTTATCGGAATTTCAGTAGCTCATGAAAACGAAGTAAATTTGATGAGCGAATCGCCACCTGGTGATCTACAATAAATTATAGCTGATGACTATTAACTCCATTTAATTAAGTTCATCAACCACTTTCACTGAATAGCATTTATTTCATCTTCTGTTGTACTACAGGATGGATGAACGATCGTTTGAAGAAGCAGAAGTCAAATATAAATTAATGCAGAGTCTACAAAAATCAGTAGTGTACACTATATCTAAAACAATAAAATGGTACACTGGAGTATATTTATGTTCACGATAAGACCAGCAGGACAGAACAAAAGAAAAAGTATACAGTTACTTGCAGTTGACTGCTACCGGTCATTTTCTGCTCATTTAGAAAGTTAATCATTTATCTTTCAGCTGAAAATAATTATTAACGCTAAGAGATATCTAATCACAATAAGGAATAAATATTAGTGTGAACAAATAAATTACCATTGAGACCGGTAAATGCAGCTTGTGTAGGAACAGGAACTCCCTGCCATGTATCTTCTATCAGACGAGGATAGTCCGGACTATTAATTACTTTGCCAAATGGACCAGAATTCTCATCCAAGCGCCAGTAATATTTTCCAGCGAAGATATAAATTGCTTGATTTTCTCCCCATAAAAATACACTATCTACACGTTCCAGGTACGATGGAAGTCCAAGATTAGTTAGAGGTAATCCATCACTTGGAAATCCAGGTTTCATCCTCATATTATCCAAAAGTAGCCAGAACTTTTTATCTGCAATTAATGTTGGGTTAAAAAGAAGCAAATAAAACAAAGTTACTTTTATAAACGCTATAAGTAAATAAGTCTAGATTTTCTGTACACAATTCAACACTGTTTGTTTATTTTGATGAGCTCCAAGTTTCAACTAGTATTCTTGTTCTAAGTTTTAGTTACAATATTATGAGTACAGTTAATTGTAGCAATAGTTCAGACGATGTTCAATTACAATTTACTCTTCTTTACAATGTTTTAATGAACAAAAAGTGTTTTCTGACTATTAAAGCGTTGAACTAACAAAAGCTCTACATAACCTATGTATTCAGTCAAATAAATGGGACAACTCTTTGGTACTAACAATACTTAAGATATATTTGGAATTTTACTAATCCATTTTACTTCCAAATAATTGGTTTAGAACCTATGTTTTCTTAAGCATACTTTTGTTATTTGAAAGATGACAAATAAAGTTCATTGAGAAACGATTTGAGCAAATGAAATTCCATGTAAATAATCTAATGACTGCATCTCTCAAATCAACCTCTATCTGGATTAATTCAATCATTTATGTACGAAACATTTGATTATCGAGTACTTTAAAAAGATAAATAACAGTGGGGATTTTATGGTCGGTTATATCTACCAAGTAGAGTTACGGGTACTAAAAAGGTGATTTAATGAGATCTAATTTTTAGAAATTCTAATCAAACTTTTTCAATACAAATGTCAAGACAGTTCTACTGTATGGGGCCGAAACCTGGAAAACTACGAAAGCTATCATCCAGAAGATACAGGTGTTTATTATAACAGTTGTCTACGCGAAATACTTAGGATCCGTTGGCCGGACATTACCAACAACAACCTACTATGGGAGAGAACAAACCAGATTCCAGCCCGGGAGGAAATCAGGAAGAAGCGCTGGAAGTGGATAGGACACACATTGAGGAAAGCATCGAACTGCGTCACAAGGCAAGCCCCACATGGAATCCTCAAGGTCGAAGCAGGAGAGGAAGACCCAAGAACACATTACGCCGGGAAATGGAGATAGACATGAGAAAAATGAAGAAGAATTGGATGGAACTAGAAAAGAAGGCCCAGGACAGAGTGGGTTGGAGAATACTGGTCGGCGGCCTATGCTCCATTAGGAGTAATAGGCGTAAGTAAGTAAGTAAGTAATCAAACTTTTGATGATCAGTTAGGTGAGTGCTTCGTCGTATACTTGGATCTTGTTCTTTCTATCAATCTAAACTCTGAATCATATCACAACATATGAATCTTCTAGTTTAGGCTTTCTAAGATAATATAATCAGTTACTTTTCACTCTCCATGCTTTTTTGATTCAGAACTCAAGGAGAAAATTATTTATAGTAGCTGGTATGATAAAGTTTAAACAGTAAAATAATTTTTGTTCACATGATAAATTGATTAAGGTTAGTTCACAATGTTTGGAGTTTCTTCTCTTTTTCACAGATTCATCAAATAAAAAGTACCTTTCACTATATGAAAAAAAATGTATCTAGTACACAAAAATATTATCAGATTAAATCGAATATTTGTGATGACAACATTATCTAAAAAGTCAATGATATCACCAACAACTACTGAGCTAATTGACATCAGTTTCAAATGTTCAATAATAAAATCATTTTACAGACTGATAAGTCTTTTAATTGAACACTAGATTCTGTTCCTAAGCTCTTCTAGTAACCCTCAGGCTAAATCTACACAGCAACACGAGAGAAAAGGCGCGAAATATGAAAGAAACGCTTCACTCCAAAGGTTCGTTTATGTACAAAGAATCTATGGCTTTTATAGTATTTTAGATGGCCTTGGGTTTCTGAGAAATTCTGGAACAATACTAAACACAGTAGCAGTATAGGTGACCATATAATCAAAAATGCGACATGTGGCTTTTCACTTTCTATATGTTTCTGGTAAAATTTCTATTGAACGCTGATGGGATGAGATACTTCTTAATGTTTTCAGAGCCTTTTTGGCTATTTTCTAGGAGTTTTCTAGATCTCCCCAACACAAACGGTTTTAGATTTGTTTGTTGAAAAGTAAATAAAAATACTAAGTCATACAATCTGACTAAAATCAGTTGTTCAGTGAAAACAGTTAAAAATTACCTCGAAAAATATAAATAGCTGCATCATGGCGTTCAATACCAGCATTAATGTAATCAACGTATTTAGGTAATGCAGGCCAGTAATAAGTTATTTTTGCTGGACCATCACGAAATTGATAGGTAATCCATGTTGTTACAGTTTTTGACCATGTTACTCGCCATTGCCACTTTAAGATAAAAAAATCAAATGATATTTAGCATTACTAAGAATGTTTTCTGCCTATTCATCATCATGTTTTGTTGATAAAATCTTAGTATCATAATCTTTGATTTTTGATAAACTGTCCAGGAGAGTAAGCTTGGCTTATTATACCTGGACCATACATTGAATACAATGTTAATTTTTGTACTTTTAGGCGTTATGTATATCGTCATTCTTATCTGGGAATTTGTGAGCTGTTAGTGTATTCAATGAAACCATAAGGTTTAAAGTCTCTTCTTTCATATTTAACTTTTAAAATGACTCTAGAAGTAACAGTCTATTTATAGCACCACCCTGAATTGATAAAACTGACGATGGTTTTCGTGTGTATTGGGTTAATTGGTTCGAGTATTAGTTAGTAGTTGTTAATTTCAAAACAAATCGTTTTACACTAACTTCAAGATGAGGAAGTTATTATTACACTTGTATATGTAAAATGATACTTCACATAATGATGTTCCCAAAAACGATAATGGGAGCTTTTCAAATAAAACATCCATTTCACAGAGTATAACACAAATTAAATTATTCAACTGAGCTAAATATATTCAAAATAGAGTGTCCTATTAATCATAGGCATAATTCACTATTCTCAAAACATTTCTAGTTAGTTAGCTATGGTTTATATTGACAATTCTCATCTTTTGTCAAATAATCTGATTTTTCACAACTTTATCTGTTTGCTTGAATCATGTGCTAAAGTAGTTCTTTTCACTTCCAAATCTCACGTTATCAAACACACTAATGGATCCAGACATTTTTCGACTAGTTTAACATGAATTAACAGTCAAATGACATTATACATAGTCCAGATGATTTTAAATGTTCTTATATAATTAAACCACTACATATTCATTTGTACTGTCGATTGTTATGGTAAGCCCATATGGTTTATTCTAGCTTCTGGACAGGCTAATGTATCTATTCATCTTGAGTCCCATTTTAACCTTGTTAATTATTCGCTTATCAATTATGGCTGTTTTTATGTAAGTGCATGTGTGTTCATTTCTCATCTTACTCATTACATGTCTGTAGCTTTTTTTGTATGACTATAAATATTGATTAACATTTGACTAAATATAGTTGGCTTACGTGCCTTCTCCACCGCGCGTCGTTTCGCTTCACTCATTTCTCGTCTCTTCCTTCACTTTATTCCTCAGATTGTCTGTCCAGATCAATCAGTGTACAAAATAGATGTAATTGGAAATTTATTCTCGTATTTGACTTATTTAATTCCGTTAATCATCAGCGCGATTTAAATCGATGAAATATACAAGGATAGGTGACATACATGTTTCGATAGCAATCATTCAGTAGCGATCAACATATAATCTAATTGGAGTCAGATTACGGGCCACTAAACATTTTTCATAGTTCAGATTTTTTGTAAACGAAATTCTATTGGAATTAACTATCAATTGTTAATCGACATTCAGATCATTTTGTGTTTGTTTTATTCAATTAAATATGAATGAGAAATTACCCGGAATAGTTTTCTTTTTTTATCCTGACTTATGTAATGCATAAATTTAAGAAAAAAATAACCCATAATGTCATTGAATACGAAAAAGAGAATCCAGCGAAGAAAATTTTCTTTTCGACGAAATCATTTACTTAAGCTGTACATTCGTATATACAGTTATCTGAAAAAATATATATCTATAGGAGGATAGAAAAGATTGCATCATAAAATGGATTCGAGATTAAATGACAAATGAGGCTACGTACTAATCAAGGGGTAAGGAAGAAAATTTCTAATTCTTTACAGGAGCATTTAATTAATTGTGGACACATCGCTCTAAAAGATTCTTCTTTTAAAGTAATCTACAAAGTCAAAGGAACTGGATCAAAGGGTTATCGAATCAATATTTTATGCACTGCTGAGGCATTGACAATCCACGAACTCAAGCCCGAACTTTGCGTGCAGAAACGATTTGTCCAACCTCTCATCCTTCCTTGGCCCTAATCCCCTTAATAGGTATGTTTCTGGGGGGGGTTGCGTGTTTTTCTGAACTTTTATTTGATTATTATTGAGTTTTTAAAATTTATTATTTTGCAATTTTAAACCCTAATCAATTATTATTATTATTATTATTATTATTATTATTATTATTATTATTATTATTATTACCCTATACAAGTTTTCTTGATTATTATTCAGTTTATTATCATGACCTTTTGTTTGTCGTTTTTCTTCATATCTGTCAATCGGACTATTAGCTAAGCCATAACCTATTTTCTTCCTTATCCCTAGTTTAGTACGTAACCTCATTTGATATTTAGTCTCGAATCCGTTTTATGATGCAATCTTTTCTATCCTCCTTCAGTCTTCAGTAATAAGGGTAGTACGTCTATCAACTTATATTAATCATTGCAGTTTGTAACACTGTGGAGGTCTAATCTCGTTCTGAATATATCAACAGAAGGTGCTGATATTACGTGTTCCGGTAGAGAATCCCAGCGATTCACTACTCGGTGCGAGAAACGAAACTCCAGACGTAAACGATTTGACCCTATAGACATATATTTTCTATATAACTATATATACGACTGTACAGCTTAAGTAACTGGTTTCGTCAAACTTTCTTCACTGGATTCTCTTTTTCTTAAGAAAAAAAGATTACCAATAATATTGTAATTTTTGAAAAGACTTTTTTAAATGAAACTTAAACTAAACTTACTTCTCCTTTAAAAACATACAATTCTAAATTACGAATTTTAATGATTGCATCAACACTGATATTACAAAAATCGAAAACATTCTCACGTTTTGGAGCTTCTGTAGTAACAGGTGCTAAGTTATAAAAAGAAATTAAGAAACATATATATATATATATATATATATATATATATATATATATATATATATATATAGGATAAATAATAATGTATGTAAGATGATTAACCATCATTCCTAGATATTAGATGCGGTTCTTGTGGATATTGGTGGTCTAGCTTCAATTGACTCATGATCTCAACTACTAAAATTACTATAATATCTACAAAAACCCATTCTGATATTAATCTACATATGCTCACTAGTGACTGACTTCAAGAGGTATTTCCTGGAGTTCTAATGAGAAGCACTGATCAGTGAAGTTCAACCGGGTCTGTTGAGAGACAGTAACTTACTGAAGACAATGGTGGATGTGTCGCTCGATTTCGTGGATTAGTTATATATTAACATCGTTGGATGTCGGCTAAGCAGTTTAGAGGTTAAGCGTTTGCGTGCGAGATTGATAGGTCCTGGGTTTGGATTTCGCGAGACGAGAAGTCCCACAATAAGACGAAACGGTTGTCCAGTGCTGCCAGATTTTCCATGGTGGTCTAGCTTCAATTGACTCATGATCTCAACTATCCAAATTCCTAGATATCTTGAGTAAAAGTTCTTAGAGTAACGAAGTAGTTACTGTAAAAAGGGATTCAATATGATTTACTAATTAAAAAAGTGTGTTATGTATATTGCATGCTGTTTCATCTAACTATTGATAGGTTAACAAATTGATACAATGGTTATTATAATTTATAAACGGCCATGAACTTATTCTTTATCAGTGTCATTTTTACGGGTTTCATAACACTAGGATGAATAAATTTAACACTAATATGAACTCAGTTTAAAAATCCCCATAGAATATACTCAAAAATGAAGGATATTTGAGCGAACAATTATTTTCAATAACTTCATCATCAGGCTCTACAGTTGTAAGTCCATAATTATGATATTTTACAAAGGCCAAAATAAGGCATGTATTAACGAGTTTGACAATGTTGTGTTAAAAATGAAAATGCGAAAAGATTGTGTGAATAAAATCCATAGCAGGAGAATTTAATCTTGTCAATTGAGATAATAATAATAATATTGTTGTGTGAATATAATAAGGGGAGTGTTATCAAGGTAATTACGGTAAACAAAGTAGACTGAAACATATAACGAAGATTATATTAACATATCATCGGTAAGGCTATTTGTAGACGTCAACGTTTATATTAATGATGAACAAGGTCTGTTCTTCTCTTTGATTTATTCTTACCACTAACGTATAATAGTGAACCATGAGTCAAACTTTGTTATTATCTCAAAATACTTTTATAAAGTATAAATAAATATCTATCTTCTGTCGGTAAATTATGAACAATTACATTTAAATTTCTAAGAAACACAATATCAATGAGATAGAAATGGAATAATGAAGTCAAGGACAAAGAGCTAACTACAACCAATCCCACTATATAAGTACCAACTAAACTGACAATTCTTCGTTATGGTATATATGTCTTATCCACTTCCAGCTTCTTTTCCTGATTTCCCCTTCATCAGGAATCTGGTTTGTTCACTCTTACAGTAGGCTGTTGCTGCTAGTATCCAACCAACGAACAATGAGTATCTTACGTAGACTATTGTTTAAAACACTAGTACTGTTTTAATGATGGTTATGGTAGTTTACCAAGTTTCAGATCCGTATAGTAGAACTGTCTTAATGTTCGCATTGAAAATTTTGACTTTCATATTGACTGATAGTTTTTTGGAGTTCCATATGTTTTTCAACGGTAGGAATGCAGACCTTACTTTGCCAGTCCTCGCCTTTACGTGTATATCAGATCCCCCTTACTTATCGGCGATGCTACACAGATACATGAAACTTTCTAGAGTTTCTGCATCAAGTGGGATTCGGTTGGTATTCTCCATGTTGCATTTGAGGATCTTGCTCTTTCCCTTGTGTATGCAGAGGCTTCTGCTAGAGTGGCTGCATTGACCTACCTTTGTTCGTGTGAATGAGATAGAAAGGCTAGGTCTGGTTGCATACAGGTTTTCCATTGTATTCCATGCTTCCCGTCAGATAAGAAGGTCTTCATAATCCATTCAATGTACAGTGATGAGTTCCATCCAGTCGATTGTTCGATGATGATCCTTAGTGTTGCGAATTCGGCCTGTGCACTACCAGTCCTTATGGAAACTGATCTGTTGATCCCGAATTCGGACGTTCAATGAATCTTTTATTAGTTTCAGCAACACCGTTGAAAACTTTTCCTTGTACCGATAGTAGTATGATACCTCTTTAGTTCTCACATTTGCTCAGATCTCCTTTCTTTGGTATCTTGATGAAGTATTCTTCTTTCCAGTCTGTCAGTGGCAATCTCATTACTCCCAAATCTTTACGAATAGAACATTGAGCATCCTTTTTGCATTTGCTTCTTGCTTGACTTTAGCGCCTCCTGGTACTGATAGTAGTGTGATGTCGCTATTTCTCACACGTGCTCAAATTTCCTTTTTTTGGTATCTTGACGAGGTATCCTTTCCGGAACTTGTCCTTCCTCCTAAATCTTACTGAATAAAACGTGGAACACCTTTGCAGTTACTTTGTGTCTGACTTCAATACTTCAGCTGGTATATTATCAGGTCATGCTACTTTCCCACTGTTGATTTGTCTGATGGTCATCCTGACTTCCTGGATCGATGGTGGAGTGACATCTATAGGTAGTTCTGCATGTACTGCTTCGTTATCCGGTGGATTCAATCTAGCTCAAAGTATTCTACCCATCTGTTCCTCTGTTCTTGAATTTTAGTGACTGGTTTGCCTTGTTTATCCTTGGTCGTTTTCTCTGGTTTACTATATTTCTCTACCTGTTTCTTCGTCGTGTCATATAGTTGTTTCACATTTCCTTCTGTTGTAGCTTTTTCCGCTGTCTTCCACGTATTTCTGCTTGTCTGCCCTAATGCTCCTCTTTGCTCTATTGTTTGCTTCAGTGTATTCAGCTTGTGCCTTGATTTTCTCTATTCTTGTTCGGTTGATGTTAATTGCTGCCTTGTTCTTCCTTTCATAAATCTTGTCCAGGGTTTAGATAGAGATCCATTTCTTATGATGATGCTTCTTGTCACTCAGCTCTTCTTGGCACGTTAAAGTTCGTGCTTCAATCCTTTTCCATTTGTTCTCCAAAGTAGTTTCCTCTTCTTTGGAATCTGTTGTTGAGAACTATCTCTAATTTGTCGTTTGTCAGTATACTTAAGGAAGGCTGCATTGAACCTTTGTAATGCTATTTGTCCAGTTGTCCAATATTTCTCTAGCTTCAGTTTCATGTTGGTCACAACCAGGTGGTGATCTTAAGCTGTGTCAGCTACTCTCCTGGTTCTCACGTCTTCCATTGACCCTCTGAAATTCTTATTGGTGCAAATATGATCTATCTGGTTCTCCGTGGTTTGGTTCGGTGAGACATATGTAGCTTTGTTTATGCATTTGTGGAAAAATATGGTGCCGCCTATGACCAGTTTGTTGAAGGCACATAGGTTTGCAAATCATTCACCAATTTCGTCCCTTTTTCTCAGTCCATATCGTCCCATGATATCTTTATTCTCGGTGTTGTCCATTCCAACCTTGGCATTTAGGTCTCCCATCAGAATAGTCAGGTCCTTTCCTTGGCACTTCACTATGATCAATTTTAGACTCTCGTAGAACTGATCTTTGTTGTTGTCGTTGCTATCATTGATGGGTGTATAACATTGGATATCGTTCATTGTAATTTCCTTCTTCTTTGTTTAAAAGGATGCTGTGATGATTCAGAATCCATGAGATTGCCATCCTATAAGAGCATTTTGTGCTTCTTTGAACAACATCAGAGCGACTCCCTAAATGTGTGGAGCATTTTTTTCTTCATGACCAAAGTACAGTAACATCGCTACCGAATTTACCCTTTTCTGTCCAGTAGATTTCACTGATCCCGAGAACCGCCAAACTGTATCACCTCATTTCCGTAGCTATTTAGTTGGTCCTCCCGGTCTCCCAGATTGTTTGGACATTTCATGTACCTATATTATTTGTTACTCTGGTTATTAGAAGGGGAATTGACCTTTTATAAAATGATTGTTATATCTAGAAGTTAGATTCTTATTATACGGTTACAACTTGAGCATTCGAACGCTAGAATTCTTCAAGTCGTAAATGAGAAGACGGAAGACAATTGAAAGGAATAGTATCCGAAAGAGTATCAAATATGGTACAAAACTATCAGGTATTTATAATTTTTTTTAGTAAAAACGAAATCATCATTATAGTCATCCAATTCGACTACATGGAGTTTTAGCATTTGTCCGATAAGGAAGCTACATGTATAGATTCTGGAATATTCTTTCTAAAGATGATTGGAAGGAATATCTATGGCTCTTTCTGAGCTTCTTAGAGCTTGCTCGAGTTCACACTTGAGCCGTCCTCATAATGATATTTTTACTTGAATCAGATAATGATAATAATGTATGGTTTAAAAAAAGCAAAGAATATTAAAGTTTAACTATTAAGTATGTTATTGAAAATCCTAATTGCCAATTTGTATAGTGATAGCATCGATTTGATGTACATTTACAAATGACCATTTGAAACTATTCTGGAAACTTATGTTTATATATGGTTTGGAATTTATAAAATACCTATTTTTTGAACATTATTGACTACTTAATTAAATTTGAGTAGTTCAGATTTTTATCTGAAAGAAAACGAACTTACGTGGTGGAGGTATATCAGGCAAACTTGGTTCAGGTGGTATAAATTTACCCGGTTTAGCAGCACCTTAAATAAAACAGATACGAGATAAGAAAGATTTAAATAACTTAATGCATTTCAGACTGTATAAGTGGATATAATTTAGATTAGACAAATTGTGTCTAGACATGAATAAGTTCATATAAAATTGTCGGTGGAATAAATATTTTTACATATGCACAGTAGACTAAACTGTTTTAAGAAATATAGTTTAAATAGCAGTAAACAGTGATAAAATAATATAGATGTGAAAAGTTACTACCTAATAACTTATAAAAGTTCATATACAAATAGGTAAACATATTGATGTTTACATACAATAAGATATTGTGACAAGATAGTGGAATTTCATAACATTTATAAAATAAAAGATAGAATAGACAAACAAAAATGTGCAATAACTAAAGTTGTCAAGTTCTTCATCAGGATATATAAGTTCAACAAAAATTTGGAAGTACTTAGAATAAACAAGAATAGAATGAGTCAACTAGGGAAACATTGCTGGGCGATAAATTACGATTTTGAAGAAGATTAAAGTAAACGTATCTAAGCTATTCTGACAAATGTTATACCAAATCACTTAATATATATATATATATATATATATATATATGCAGTGTTCTATGTATTAAGGTTGGTTAATCCTTATCCGATGAAGCCGGTTGGCTTTCGATAAATGTTATCCGTTTCGCAAGCCTCATAAACTCATCGCATGGGTGTTGTTTTATAGGAAAATTGTTACCCTCAGGCCTTGACACGCAGGCGCCGCAAAACAGGAAAGTATAACTTACATGCACACCGGTAACACACAAAGTTATTTTATTCCTAATCCTATTTTTTTATTTCAGTGGAACTGTCATTGCTTCCTGTGTTGGGTGATCTAAACATGAAGAACTTGTTAACACATTGGTACAACATAAAATTGTTTGATCGAACTAAACTTTATTCATTTGGTTTTAGCTACAGTTGAACAATATTGAATGCTGTAACATATATTGGGCTTTACGTGTTGTTCTGAACTACTATAATTTTTGGTTCAATCGTAACAAACGTCTAGCCTGTCCGATATAATGGTTATAGTTACACAGATTTACATTATTATTGTTATTAATATATAGTGATAAAGTTCAACAGGAACCGAGTCACATTTTGAAAAAGGGAGTAAATTGCCTTTCATTTGAATTCAATAAATGTCATGTGAAAAATATTGAAAGTTTTCTATTATATAATTTTATTTAACGCAACAACTATTGGTAATTAAATGGTCCAAAATAGATTTTCGAATTCTTGTCTCTCTAGGAATTAACAGAACAATATTTAACCTATTTTTATCACTATTGAAACTGTAAAAAATTTAGCTTCACAAGTAGTGAATTTTGCTATCTCATATTGTGGTGTGTGATACTTATAAGTAGTATATGACGTTAGTCAGGAACAGAGTGTCTGTCAGCAGAGAGACAAGAGGATCGGACAGTAAAGAATGGAAACAGAATGCAATTTGTATGAAAATGCAAGAACAATGAAATCTGGGCCATTTTGAAACAATTGGTGGTCATTTCGCAAATTGAGCCTTTACTATATGGTTGTTAGATTTTATTAACAAGTTCTGTAATTGTGGTGTCAGATACATTTGATTGTCCCCACTGATGCTCTATTCATTACAGTATGATCTGGTTCATAAGCCGTTTCAGTGAGAATAATAATATATGCTGACGATTAACTTTACTGTAAAAGGAATCAATAATTACCTAAAGAAAAAATTATTTAGAAACTTAGTCTAAACCCACAATATGCACAGTAATTCAGATTATGACTAATATCAATGAACTCAATTTTGCAGTAACTGGATAAAACGATTATATGATGATGAATAAATTGCATCATGCAACGCAAACTGACTGAATGATTCCTGTTGATTAGTTAAAAATCCAAATGAACTGTTCAATAAGATTTGTTCAGCTACAGAACAGTATGAGTAAAAATTAAAAGTGGGGAAAATTTTATATCATGCATACTAACAAACTAAACTGTCAAATTATAATCTGTTCCTCTCTTATAACTCAAGTATCTATACAGTAAATCTGATTGAACGTCTAGTACAAAAAATATGTACTAAGTGACTGATTGGTATTAATTAAAACTAAAATCCATTCGCTAATGACCCATCAACTCAATGAACATGGAAATGATTTGACATTTGAAGCATCTGAGTCCCAGTCATTAGGTCACAAGTTCAAATCTCCTTCCAACCTCTCTGGGTTCGGTAGCCTGTTAATAACACTGGCCTTCATATAAAACGTATAGTTGAAAGTTATATATTTATCCACATATATACAGTACATGTAAATTTAAGTTTCATTATTAAAACTACCTTACCAGTAAATTTTTTTCATATCATATACAGTAGTTTTTAGTTTACTAACTAAATGTTTTAATTCCAATCGAATAAAAGATATCATTTGTTTGAATGATATGCTTACCATAAATTTGTTGTATTCCAGCGATATCATCTGGATCTAACTTAACTTTTTCCCAAGTTCTTGTGTAGTAAGGATACATAATTGCAGTTGGTACAGATGAATGACCTAATCCTAAACTGTGCCCTAATTCATGAGCTGCGACAGAAATCAAATTTCGATGTGCTGTAAAGAAACAATATGAAAACACAAAATAAAATTCATAAAATCTTGAACTGTATTAGAAAGTTGGAGATAATCGACAGAATACATTGTACCTAGGTTTCATATTATTGAACACTCGTAAACAAGACATGAAAAAAATGAGGAAACGGGTGCTCACTGTGGGATTTGAACCCACATCACCTACCCTCACGGTCTGAAAAGTTATCACTTAGATATTCAGAGTGAGACTGATCTCTTATAGACCTGAGATTTTTACATTTGATTGATTATTAATTTAGTGATCAACGCCATACATTTATAATTCTCCTTTTTAGTTCCAATATCAAGCACTCATTCACTGAATGAAAGGGAAAACGGTTGAAAATACTTAATGTAACATATTACTTGTACATCGGATATATGATTAACAACTTCATCGAAAAATCCCCATTTAAGAATTTTACAACAGCTAGTAGGATAAAGTTATATTCCGTTACAATACTCTTTCTCAACGCTAATACATAAATATTTAACATTACTAATAAAATCAATAACAACCATGTGTTCATGTGTTAGATAATATTACTACGAATTCAAAAGATTTTACAAAGATAATTAGAAGATTTCATAAACATGACATTGGTTGGTACTCAATGGTTAATCAAATAATTCTCAGTTCTGATAGATTGGAAATACTTATTTCTTCTACATTTTTAAGTGATCTTGAGATTTTATGAGGAGGCCGTGTTTGTTATCTGGTAAGTGTGAAAAACGCTCAGGATATAATTGTAACTTGGTGATTTTGCTTGGAAGCAACTAAAAGTTATTTTTTCATTTACATTCATATTATTTACTAGCTGAAATCCTTCTATTGATAATTTTTATAGAATTTCAATCGAAATTTCAGTGCAAAATAAAAGCGGTCTTGTTCTCATTAACTACCGAATACTGTGGATTAAGTGAAATTATACTTATACACCATAAGACTTCTGCTCAGTGGTCTGGGAGTCTAGCGTTCACACAAGCAACCGAGGGTCCTAAGTTTGATTCTTGGAGATTGGGTAGTGAGTGTGTACTGTTGAGTAGTTCTGCACTAGAACGAAGTACACATTCAATGCTTCCAGGTTACTGTTGATTATAGAAATCTTGATCGATTCATTGAAGTTCAACAATCTTCATAACCAAATACTGACTGTTCAATAACCCTAAGTTACTAATTGACGTAACTAGAGCTATATTTAAAAATTTAACTTGTAAAAAAGTATGGAAATAAATACTACTTTTATGTGGTCCATCATTCCAGATTTCATCATCGTCAAAATGTGCATCACCAGAAAATGAATATACATTATCCGGTGTTGGATAGTAAGCATGTGCTAGTACTCCACCTATGTAATAAAAAAGAGATTAGAAAAAAATGTGGCAAACATTTGATTATTACGCAGTGAAAACAAAAATTATACAAAAATCTTTATAATTCACAAATTAATTTGTTCAATATAATTGACAAAGGTAATTTAATATCCGTTTAGTGTATTGTACCCAACTATTTGGGTAAATATTTCGCTAATTTAGTGAGTGCTGCATAGCGCAGTGGAAGTTTCAGTAAATTTTCCATCCTTAGCGTTTGAAGATATCCTTAACTGTTCACAATGAACATATTCAGAGTAAACTAGATAGATAGTAGGTAAGTCCCACATGGTAGAGTGTAACTTGAATAAAATATTTCATTTACAAGCCGTAATGTCTACTACCTTTATGTTCATCAGACATTCCATTCAGTCAACCAGATATAACGACTGATTAAAACTAGCTGGATATTTCTGATGAAGAACACAAGGGTAGTAAACATTCAGGCTTGTGAATGAGATCTTTAATTAAAGTTACACTCTACCATGTGAGGCTTACCTACTTAGTGGACAAAAAATTCGATTGAAAATGATGTATAATATAACATACTTAGATGATATTTAAAATGATTAGTAACTCTAATAATGAAGTATCAAATGGAACTACTATTCATTCTTTATACTTTCAGTAAGTCGACCATCATTAATATTAGTTGAATCGGCCCAGGTTTCTATACTACATTAACACGAAGAAATGAATATAAAAAGCTGAATGACAAAAGAGATCTAAATCATTTAATGGAAACGATCATGAGAAAGATCAATCTTTGAGAATACTATACAAAATGACAGAATGGAAAAGTATGTGTGAAGGAGTACAGGAATGAAAGATCAAGAGGAAGGTAAAGGGTGAAACATTGGTAGTATTGTGAACGGTTCTGAGCCTTGTTATTTAAATCTTAAACTATAGACAGCAGATATCGCAAGTATCATAAATTATAAAGTTATCTAGAATTTAACATTCAGTGTTGCACAACATCACAAGATTGTGGAGTTTTACTCATTTAAGTACATTTTACCAAGTTCCAGTCAATATGTGTAATTAAAATACACAAATATTATTGAAATACTGACCTGCTCCATCAAATGGTATTGAATCTCCATGTTTGCCAGCTCCAAATCGTATTACAATATCAGCTGGTTTATAATAATCTTTTTCTTCCACAAAATCTAAATTAACCACTCTTGACCATAAATTGAATGTATGCTGAAATACTGCATGTGCACGTACTCTTGATAAAGAATGTGATGGATAACTTTGGATTCTAGAAGAATAAAACCAAAGACAATGAACAAGAGTGAAGTGAAGAGCGAATAACATCCATTAACATGACAAAATTTTAATTATATTATTTAACTGGATAAAAAATGTTATGAGAAAAGGTTGATTTTAAAAAAATGTTCATGTCTATACATGGTAGTGATTCATAGCAAGATTCTAAATGGGAATATGCCAGACATAACATTTAACAACTACAAAGACAAAATTTTGAAAAATCTTTCTTAATTCAGATGTCAAGCTAGTGAATTCAGTACTTCTACTGAAGGTTTCCAGTCAAATTACATTTCGTAGTATAGTACCCCCTAATGATTCTACGTTATTAAAAAAATTAGGGCATAGTTCTTGCAATCTTACACTTTAAGTTTCTGGCCAGATACTACATCTATACTCACAGTTAACATACTTTGAAGAAAACTGTGATTTCAATTTTGTAAGCCAGGAAATAATTTACAAATCACTGGTGAATATAAACTCTGAGATGAAAGTACATCCAGCTGATAAGTCCCAACCAAGACAAAACACGCGTCCTAGATTCCACTGCCGTCCACCTCCGCCGAAAAATGCTTGTGAATTACTAGCAATATTGAGGCGATTTGCACTAGGTGCACATATACCAAAAAGAGACTGATCAATTACAGTCCTAAACATTAATGGGAAAATTCAAACGACCAATATATATATATATATATATATATATATATATATATATATATATATATATGGATTTCAATAGTTAAGATCATGAGTCGATTGAAGCTAGACCACCAAGGAAAACCTGGAAACACTTGACGACCGTTTCGTCCTGTTGTGGGACTCTTCAGCAGTGCACATCCATGGTATATACGAATTAAAAATTACCCATTACTAGTTTTATCAAATAATGAATAGTCGTGAATTATTTTTTGTAAATTGTTCCAACGTTTGCTTATACGAGTATAGAAAGAATTTTTTTGATCAAGTATAGTTTTCATAAGATATGAATGGTTGGTTGAAGTTAAACGTTAACACCTTTGAATGTCGGCTTACTGTAATAAAGGTTAAGTGTTCGCGCATGGGTTCGAACCCCAGGGGGCTGGATCGTGGATGCGCACTACTGAGGATTCCCATACTATGATGAAACGGCTATCCAGTGCTTTCAGGTTTTCCATGGTGGTCTGGCTTCAAATGGCTCATGAATTTAATTAGTAAATGAATTATATTGAACTTAGATCAAATGATTATTTATCAATTTGTATTATATTTCTTGTTAGTAAACATATTTTAATTATATTTTTTCTCACTACTACAATCATGATCTATCTAATAATCCAAGATTTCTATAGAATGTTGAAATCAATTAGCAACCTACTCAAAATGATTTTAATTCTTAATTCAATACTTTATTTCTTGGACAATCTAAAGTGTCTGTGTATATGGAAACACTTAAACATATTATAAATATATTTTTAATATCTCAATGAGTAGAAAAATTACATATTCTGATGTTTCGTGACTTAGTTTAGACCACTTCTTCAGAGAATAATTAACCAAATTCAACATATTATTATTATAATAACTGATTATTTTATTAATACATATACCATTGTAGTTAGTAAGTTTGTAAAGAAAGAAAAAACAAACGAAGTAACATTTTCAGTAGTTTACGAAATTATGCATAGAAAGGGAATAAATAGAATAGAGAAATAAAGACTGAATACATTAACTGTGTTATTTGATTTTGTTTGATTGACCTCCGGAAGTATAAATGAATATATATATATATATATATATATATATATATATATATATATATATATCACATTTATTTCTCGTGATGATGAATAGATATCAAGCCAAAGAATGTACTATTAAACATATGTAATTCAAAACATAATTATGCAAATGACTTGAACTTTAAACGTAAATTTTTTATGCATCAAAATGCACGTATAATAATGTATAATTTTAGGCATAAAATCAGTTCAAATATACTAGGAATGACTAGTTAAAATGTTATTCTACATTGAATCATTAATCAATAACATGAAATGATGAATGTCAATCATTTGATCACAAAGAAACAAACAACAACTTCAAAATAAGTAGTAAGTAAAAGTTCATATTTATTTACTAGTAAAATATATTGTAAAAAAACAAAACAGCTGAGAGATTATAATTTAAGTAAATAAAACTCAAGGTTGAATATTTCGTTAATGTTTTCATTGAACAATGTGGAGATTTGGTGAAGTTAAATTTATTAAACTAGATTTAATTGAGAAGTTTTAATTAGTTTCAGATAGAAGTGAGCTATGATTTTAGCCGATTCTTGCCAATACTTGTTCTACCATTGTTTGGACATTTATTTTGATTGCTTTTCACCTTCAAACTGAGTCTTGGCTTTATAGCTATGTATTATTAGTTGATAAATTAGATCCATGCCGATATGTTTATTGTTTACTGACTAACCTAAATACCAAACTTTTTAGAATACTCGGGACTTATTTGTGTTACTTCTGAATACTTGTCTAAGTACATTGATATAAGCGAAGATATATCGTGGCGCTTGACAGCCAATCAATGTTGATGAAGACGACGATGAGGAAGAAAACCACGCTGTTCAATGTAATGATTTTTTGCATTTCGGAGAGTTTATTCTATGAGGATAGTTGGCTTATCTTATTTTGTTTCTCCTTTTAATATGTTCAAGTTTGATTTAAGTTATATTACTGGTTTATGAGCTATCTCACTTTCTAATGGTTTCAATATTCCAGTTATTTCCGATATTTCTTCCATATATTGTAGAATAATCCGTTTACTGGTTTCTATAACTGAATTCATGCTTATCGATAAGTTTGATTAATATGTTTTGACGTAGTTGTGCAGACTGCTATTCATTTAAAACACAATCATTGGGTGTTTTTCTTGATTTCTCTGTACAGTAGGTGTGCTGCAGTATGCTCTCTCTCTTAATAGTGCTTTTAACAGATTGATTCCACAGATTATAAGGTTGTCGCTTTTAAATTTAAAGATTTAACTCTCATGAGTTAGTTTTATGGAAATTTGGGTCACCAATTTTTTTTTATTGTAGTGAAAAACACATCCAAAATAGGTAATTTTTGTTTGAATCCTTTTCCACTGGGGATATATATATATATATATATATATATATATAATCAATTCATTAAATCAGATGTAATATGTCTTTCAATAAGAACTACATACGTAAGTAATGTGAACTTCGAACTAAATAAAAAAGGTATTTTCGGTTGTTGAAGGGCTACTTTTGTTAACTATAAACCGAATGCCATCAAAAAATGATGCACCATTTCTTAATGTATCATATAGACAAAAAAACAGTGCATCTTGAACACTAATGTGAATATTATGAAGTTATCATTTTCTAGACATCGTGGTGGCCTATAAACATGAGCACTCCATAGAGGCTTTAAAAATGCTCTTGATTCCAAATAATATTGAATAAACAGTATTTACCTTGAAATACACTCATGGGATATAACTAGACCAACCGAGAATCGACGGCCATTAAATTTCACTGATATAAATTTCTCGACTTCAATTGGATTGGAGTTGAGAAAAGTTCTTTATATAAGTAGTACAATATTACAGATGAGTAATTATTGACAGTTTTAGTTTATGAATTCAAAGACCGTCTATCTAATTAATTTCTTATATAATGCCACTTTATTCATTATTTATTCAATATTTTTTAACAGTAATATAACTAAAAATTAGGAAATACAAGTAACTACTTGCAACGAATATTGGATTTTTACAAATGATCGGTCACTGGGTGGTGACCAATATCAAGTTTTTCAGGTTTTTCTTGGTGATGATTGAATTCTGTCGATCAGGTTGCAATGTAGCCACTAGTCTAAGTGACTCGACATCGTATGAACTATGTTGGGAAGTAAGGTAGTGTTTGAAGGTTAGATGGTGGCTGGAGGTAGTCAACAGGAAACCCTGGACCCGGGTTTCGTGCTACTTGGCAATCGTCAGCAAGGTGTACCTGTAATCTTGAGGGAACTGGTGCTCCCTGACGGACTCGATCCCGTGTCACCCAGGTTCACAGTCAGAGACCTTACCACTGAGCTATCCGGGCCGCGACCAGCCTCCTGTAGGACTGAGATGTAATCACAATTGATTAATCACTGGGTGGTGACCAATGTCATGCGTGTCTAGTCCTTATTATTAGTGCAGATCGAATGCTATCAACCATGTTGCAATATGGCCACCAGTCTAGGTGACTCAACACTGCGTGCACTATTGTGAGATTAGATGGTGGTTGGAGGCAGTCGACAGGAAACCCTGGACCTCAGTTTCGTACTATTCGAGATGTACCTGATGGATTTGATCTCGTGTCACCTAGCCACTGGATTAGTTCAGTAGTGACTTCTCTGGATATGAGCATACCATGAGAAGCATTATTTTTCTTAAAAGACGACATATACTTTTTTTGACGATTTCCAATCACTACAAAACTTAAGTGCCCACGACTTCGCTTTGATTATGTCTATTAAGTAATCTATAATATTCTATAACTTTTTGATCATAATAATGTTTGACCTTTGGATCGGTACAAAATTAGAAATAATTTGAGGTCCAAAATTAATTTCAACTGTGATTATATATTTTGTTTTAGTTAATTTTAAGATATTTAAAATATTTATGTGCCAAATTATTATTTACAGAATAAAATCCACATTGTGGTGTTGTTATAACCATACAAGATCATTGTTTTCACTTGTAATCATGAAAACTACATCCTGTATGAAAATTTGACGCTAGTAATATTCAGTTTATTTGTTTTGTTTTGTTTTTAACTAAGACACTTCACACCAGAGGTTTAAAACAGTTAAATAAAACTGACATATATTCAATTTAGGTTACTAATAAACATATAGATTATATTTATTTCAACATGTTTGTCTTGCGTCGAAAAAGTGAAAGAGAATATTTTTCAGTACTATATACATCTAAATATGTTACGAATACTATTTAGTAATATAAATTCTTTTCTTTCGAAAACTGTTGTAGAATTAAGAGGATTTTAATATGCTTTACATAATAATGTGTTACAATAATATTAGTCAATGGTAGCTTCGTTTTCTGAAAATACGTTCTGCGAAACAGTGGAAATAGTTTGGAGCTGAAAGTTATTTATGAACAGTATAGAAATTATTATATCATATCGTCCCGCAAATAAATAAGCTTTTTAACAAAAAATCTTGATTTAAATGTAAATAATGAATAAAACTGAAACGTATGTTATATTAGTAGTAGATTGTCAACATCGGTCTGGGGGATTTGTGAAGATTGTTGAGTGTTACTGACATCGCGAAATGACCTAAGTTAGATAACCTTTAGACGGGTAATTATAAGGTACTTACTAACGACTAACTTCTAGCAGAAATTCCTAGAGTTTTAGTGAGAAGCTGTGATTAGTAGAGTTCAACCATGTAGGGTGTGAGAGAAATTTTCAGAAAAAACAATGAATGGTAGTTGTGCAATATCGCGAAGCAATTGAAGTTAAACCCCTTTTCAGTGATCTTGAAGTTAAGGATCCATAGAAGAAGCCAAAGATGCTACGTATAATCCTCGGTGAAAGGATCACGAACGAGCACTGCTGAATTGTCTCAAACTAGTCCAAAACAGATGTTTAGTTCTTCCTGGTTTCCAATAATTATCTAAGTTTGATCAGTTTGTGATTTCAGTGAGAAAAATAAAAATTATAAAAGAACTTTATCATGAATAAATTGAAAATGAAATCCGTTTACAAACCAAATTAAGTAACCTAGTTTATAGCATAAGTTGGAACAGTTCATTTATATAGAAATATCGAGCTTAAATATAACTACTACTTATGTCCTGTTATGTAGATATGGTTTTCATTTTAACTTAACACTATATATATATATATATATATATATATATATATATATATATATATAAACTTGACTAAAGCGAAAATAATTCAGGGGAAAGGAATTTATACCCTTATTAAAAACAAAACAAAAAAAAAAAAACTAAAAATACATTTCACACACTGCCAAGTTAATTGTTTCTTTGTCCATTTCATTTTTTCATCACCAATTAAATAACGTTTTTGTCTTTTTAATAATCTCTCATTGTGATTAATATTATTATTATTAGCATTTTGTACAGTTAATGAATAATTATGATTAAAATGGAATGTATTGCCAAATTTTAATTTGGATAATAAGGTTGATGGTTGTTTCAAATTAATTTGTTGATCCGGATTACCACAACGTGGTGAAATTAATAGATTTTTTGTAGCTTCATCTAATTTACCTGTCATAGGTAGATTATATTGTATTTGAAACTTTCTAATTGCATTATTAAATTCTTTCGGTGGATTAGTTAATGATAATTTATCTGGATAAGGAAATTTAGATTCATATGGATTTTGATCTGGTGGTATAGGGTTACCATTATTAATATTATTATGAGTTTTGGAATAGTCATCCATGTATCCGTATCGATATAGCAAATTCTAGTTTAAGAAAAAAACAGAAAAAACACAGTTGAAAAGGTTACAATTATATATACATATATATAAACATTTCAATTCACTGGGGAAACTCAACAAATTTGAATGTGACCTTATTCACGAAACCACCATTCGAGTATTCGTTAAGAAACAAAAAAAAGTAACATACAAGTGTATTTCTCGATTTTTAAATTTTCTTTCAACAACACTTAATTGACTTCACTTGGCGTTGTTTAACTTGTATCTTCAAATTGCTATCTAGGACTGCAAATGATCAGTCTCATGTTGGCATATGTGCATCCTGTGTGGATTGCCTCTATATAGACTTAAGTCACAAGCTTTATAAGCAACGATAAGACTGCTTAATTGCAGTCCTAAATCACAATGGGAAGATACAAGTTAAACAATATCAAGTGAATTTAACTTCACCCCATTGCACAAGCAGGTGGCTAATAGGACTCAGTAGCTAAGTGGATAACGCCATGGCGTTTGAAGCGGACGGCACTGAGTTCGAGTCTCGCTGACAAGTCCTAAATAGGACGAAAAGCGCGTCCTGAATTCCACTGCTAGCCACTATCCATCTTTTCTTAAAAATACTTAATTGAAGTTTGATTGTCTTTGAAACTGTATTAGCAATTAGTTTGTTAGAATTAAAGCGAATTTCTAATAAATAGGATTTTTTACTATGGTGTAAACATACCACAGGGCATTAATTAATTCGTCATCTTAATCTTCCGTTATTTATTAATGTCATTAGTATTCTAAATTGGTTAAATGTTTGGTTTACAAACAACAATATATTTATTTAATTGGGTAGTGGTTGTGTTTCATGTCTAGTTGGGAATAGGTTTCATGAACAAGTTATCACTTTTATCGATTTAAGGAATCTAGTACTTTATCAAATCAATTGAAACTTTGGAAAATTATTTTGTTATATATAGGGAATTGTTTTTTTATCGAATGCTCATTACAGTCACTGAATATGTCAAAATATTTATAGTTGTCTTCGAAATAGAATATCAGTAGTATATGAGTAATAGTTAGATTTTTTAATGTCAACCAGTTAGATTCAAATGATAGAGCTTACATTGAACGAAACTGCTTACAATAAACTTATGCAAGTTTCTTTTGTCAAGTGATATATGGATTTCGAGAAAACAACTTATATTAATGAAAGACTGTTTTCTTCAACTCAAATGAACAAATTTCTTTCTTATTGGTGACGTTAATTGGACACTGGGCTTGTCTGCCAATATTCGATCCATAGATATGTTCTTACTGGGATTAGTATGATTTCTGTTTATTGTTAGCTGCAACTGGATATTAGGAAGCTATATTTTAACTATAAATACAAAAATAGTTTGTCACCAGGTTATGTAGACTAAAGAATGAATGATCTCTTTAAAACCCGTACATCGGGAAAAATTTAAAGCTCCAAGCTTATGAACATACTAATCAACTTAATTGGGAAAAGACAAGCTATACAAAAATAATATATGTATTCTAGTTAGTTATCAGTAAAACACACATGTAAATAACTTTCATCTATATTAATAATGAGTAGTACTTGTAACATCATTGGAAACCAACTCATATTTATTTAGTTTTCATTATATATATATATATATATATATATATATATATATATATATATATATATATATATATATATATATATATATATACCAGCATGTTGTGTATTAAATTAACTGCTAACATACACTTCCTGTAGATTTCATTTCAGATTAATATCAGGCTCAGTGAAATATTAACAATGAAATTACTTGTACTTTTCACTAAACCCATTTCAACAACAACAACAACAACTTATAATCAAGATCCAATTCTGATATTTACTGTAAATAAATATGCACAATTATGCAATATTTTCTTCATTTATCGAAATGACAAATATATATATACACATATATATATCATTTTATTTTGATCAGCGTGTATAAAATATCTGACTACCTGTAGCTAACAATCAACAATATTTATTCCATAATGATACATGTAAATATGACATAATATATAATTCACAAGTTACATACCATAGTCTAGAATAGAATTTTGATTATATAATAACAAGTTATTTTGTCTAGTTAAGCATTTGGTTATTTTTGCGCTTATAAAATAAATGAAGAGAAACTTAACTTATGAAATAAACAAAAAGTATCATTACATAAGTACTGGTAATAAACGTGTTGGATTTAAAAACAATTCTTTTTTTTCAGTAAACAATATCACTCAATTGAATTATTTTCTGGTTAGCGTTTTTTAGCAAGTTAGATTTCTACAGAATGGGGTCACTAACCCCATGCTCAACCATTAGCCTTTATCCGGGCTTGGGACCAGCAGTAGCCTCAGAGGAGTTCCAGGAGGAAACTTGGAGAATCACGAAAGCTATCATCCAGAAGATACAAGTGTTTATTAACAGTTGTTTACGCAAAATGCTTCGGATCCGTTGACCAGACGCTATCAGCAACAATCTACTATGGGAAAGAACAAGCCAGGTCATAGCGGAGGAAGAAATCAGGAAGTGGATAAGACACACATCGAGGAAAGCACACAACTGTAAGCACTCACTTGAAATCATCAAGGCCAAAGGACACATTACGCTGAGAAATGGAGACAGACATGAGAAGAATGAACAACAAATGGATAGAACTAGGAAGGAATGCTCAGAACGGAGTGGGTTGGAGAGAGCTGATTGGCAGCCTATTCTCAATTGGGAGTAACAGGCATAAGTAAGTAATATCACTAAAACATTCATACACTGAACCAAATAACTTCAAGCTTTTAGCGTATTCTCAAACACCATGGTGAACATATTAGTTTTGAAACTAATGAATCCAATTTTAATTATCAACATTTGCAACATTAAGTAAGCAGCAATATAATGTTTGTTTTACGAGCTTTACAGACTATATACTTTACTCGAATAAATGAAGAAACATTGAGCTTTTAATTCGAAACTACAATTAGATATCCGAGAAATAATTTCGGAAAAAGTAACGATAAGGCAACATATGTAGGAACTTAAGTAAATGGTGTATTCTAGGTTGTTATTTTTTAATCAGTAGCCTGTCAACATCAAATTCAAGCAGCGTGAGTAATTTTTTTGTAAACATGAAATGGCTTCATAAATTAGATTAGTTTGATAACAGTTAATATTAGAAGTTGTTATCAGTTAACAAAGCATTGGATATACAAAAATAATGAACAATTATATCGCTTACATTTTTGACTTTGCAAAGATCACACCTTAGCCAAGATCATTCAAGCCAAAAATGAAGATGACTAAAGATTATAAGTTTCAAGTCAGAATGGAACAATGTTTTGACATTGAATTTTTGATCTTCAAGCAGTGTAATTTAGAAAAACCAAATATGAGGTGTAGTTTTTAAAAATAAAATAAAATTTCCGCATTGGTTACTTTAAGAGTAAGAAATGTTCAATTATTTTATAATAATGTTAGTACGTACTTACAGCATGTGTGGATTTCAACTTTGTGTACTCATTGTGAATAAACGTAAAATTAGTGAGAACATATCAAAGGTTCAAAAATAAAAATAGTAAATACATCAAACCTTTTAATCACAAAACGATCAAAACAGTATTTTGAAAATTTTATATTTAAAAATATAACCAAATAAACATTCTTTCAGTGAATTCATTTTATCTTACTTTTATGAAAAATGTGATGAAACTATACAACAGGATTACTACTGGTTCGGATTCCGAGCCGTATCTGATAACATCTGAAGTTGTATAACCAGTATCATGAATGTCCTAAAGATGATCCAGATTGACATAAGCCGCCCTAGCTTTTTTTACACATAGATTGATGTCATCTGATGCACCACTCACATCACTAACAAAACCCCCCAGATATACAAATTTTCTGGCTACTTCTAGTAGTGCACCATGAGGAGTGGGTGTTAGCTGAGACCCATGCTAGTCTTACAGAAGTCATTTGAATTTTAACAGTGAAGTTTTTGCGGGCACTAATCGACAACTTGGGTGCGAGTTGGATAGCCTGTATATAATCGCATAGAAAGACAATTCTATCGGTGTACTCAATGTTGAGAAGTATTTCTGCAAGTAAAAGATCCACACTACTACTATCAAGTGATCCCTTGGGAGCTCTTTCTGGAATATCAACGATAGAAAATTTTAAACAAAATTATGAGATTAGCCAACACTACCTGACTCTATCGGATTAAGAGGAAGGACATAAGTAGTTGTGTGATGTTATTGTGCTTAATGGTCTACTGTTTTCTGACTTCTCAGAGATTGGAGTTTCTTATGAACCTTTACTTCGTTAAACAAATCGATATTAACGGACCACGGGACAGTATGACCGACGAAACTGAGGCAGCAGACCAGTTGAATTAAGCCCTAAACCTCTTTCACCAGAATCTGAGATCCGTCTAGATAATACCAACCAGAGTACCATCAACTTCATAGATTATTTCAATGACAAATGGATATCTTGCTTGTATAGATCCGTCCACGATGGGATTCTAGATGTAAAATAATTCCGACGCATACCAGGGTATGACCAAAATTCATATAAAAATTCAAACAAGTAAAACAGTCTAATACGTATCAAGTCCAGGGATAGATCGTTACAATATCACCAACATGAATACAGACACCTAAATGACTAAGGTGGACGGAGTTTGCTTTTTTCTTGGAACTCTTATATAGCTTCGGGTTTATGGTCACCGTCTAGGAAGTCCTCATTGAGAGAGGAAAAGCAGAGGCCCGGAGCTTAAACCGAGATGGTGGATACTAGATCGTTATTTTGGTCACCAACCACCATGGAGTCACATCTCGTGACGTTGTGGATTAGATCCTTCAATGAAAGTTTCGAGGAGTAGTCTTCTAAGTAAACTACCTAAATCTAAATGGTCACACGGGAATAATCCAAGACCAAACAAAATTAGGATAAAGAATAATTATAAAGAAAATTTTCTACTCATTTCAACTCACTA